CCCCCCCCCCCCCTTCAACCCCCTCCTCTTCCCCCCCGGCCCCAAACCCCGGCGTCGGCCTCGGGGACCTCCAGGTGAGGTCATTTCCTCCAGTTGGAACTGCCAGCACGGCGAGGGCCGGCCGGGGGCCGTGCACAGAGCCCCAGAGCTGGGAGCTGAAGGGATTTATAGCTGCGTGCTTCTTGGTTGCGTGCTATTATTATTGTTTTTTTCCCCCCCTCTTTTCCTCTCTGTTTTTTTCTGGTTTAAATGCACCAAGCCGGGTGGGACCGCAGCAGACGGAGAGCAAACAGAGAGTTGAACCCACGGAGGATGAGCACCGAGCCACTGACCCCACACTGGGATGCAGCCCAGCTCCATTCCCAGCGTCCCACCTCTCCCAGAACCACATCACCTCACTCCATCCAACCCCATCGAGGTCCCCAAGCTGTGCCACGACCACGAGGCACTGTGTGCCCGCTCCACGTATCCAAAGCAGCTTCGGAACTGCACATCCAAGCACTTTATTTTGAAGGAGAGGCTTTGGAACCTGTTTGTTTTGCATGGGCTCCAGCGATAACACGGAGCAGGGCCGCAAAGAGCCTTTGATCTGCTGCCGTTTGTCCCACCCCACCTCCCTCCCCCTCCTCCCCATACCACTTAGGTGTGGATTTCTCTCCCCCAGCGTGGAAGTTCAACAGCACAACACAAAGCAGAGGTCACTGCTGGGAAGGAGGGGGGTGGGGGGGACCCATTAAAAGTGGGGGTGAGTAAAGGAGGATGCAGAGCACGCGTGGCGCTGAGCTGCGCTGCTCTGCCAGCACGGGGCTGCTGTGTTCTGCTGCAGAACCCCACTGCCTACGGGGTGCTGGAATAGCTGGGGTGCAGGTGTTGGTGCTGACACGTGCATGGGGCCAGCAAACACCCAGCGGCTCCTGGGGGCATCGGGGCCCCTTGAGCAGCACCAGAGTGACAGGGAGCTCCCCAGCACCTTTGAAATCTGAGGCCAACAAAGGGCCATTTGTCAAAGCAACGCTTTCCCCACATGGCAGCCGGGGTTTGGGAGCTCTGAATTTCACACACACCACGATTTTCTGCAGCAAGCTTTTCCCTATGAAAGCAGAGTCTCTTTCCTTACAGCTGGGATCCTGCAGTTATAGGCTCCCCCCCGGCAGCACAGGGTGCAGTGCCACATCCCTCAGGTCTTTTGGGAAGGCTGCGTGGCCAGACAGCTCCCATGCTCTGCATCCCCTCCTCCCCAGCCTCTTTTCCTGCAGATCCCATTACTCCCAGCCACAAAGCCATTGTTCACTTTATTCCCCTCCAACAGCCATAGGAGCATGGCTAACAGATTCCTGCAGCCTGCTTGGCTTTCCTATAAAGCAGCACAGGCAGTGCACACACCTGGAGCAGCCCCAGCTGCCCGCGTGCCTCACGGCTGCTTTGCTTTCCTCCTGCACTGAAATCTGACCGTGCTGAATATCCCGTTGCAATGGGGCACTGTGATGTAACCTCAAAGTGATGGGGGTGGGGTGTTGATGGCAAAACCCCTCTGTCTGTGTTTGTGCCCCCAGCCTGCAGAGTTTCCCTCCATCTCCCACGTGGGGAGGGGGTGGGAGAAACCCTTCCCTTTTCTGTGCACTGATGCTTTGTAGGAGTTGGGGGTTGGCAGCGCTGGGATTGGGGTGCAGGGATGGGGGCCCCAACCACTCACCGAGGAGGGGAGTCCAGGAGGCACCTTCCGAACCTTTTTGGGCTGTCCATCTGCTTGGGAGAGAAGGAGAAAGGATGGAATCTTTTGAAAGGGAGTCAGCAGGAGGGCAAACAAACTCCTGCTAAACCAAAGGGCAGAACACACAGACCCCAAACGTCCCATGGCCAAAGGAGGGGCAGTAATGGGAACGAGGAAGAGCCTCCCAGCCCTTCATCCCATACATAATCCCTAACTGTATTGCTGGTTGCATCCTAGGAGATGTTTTTCAGCTCATGGTTACAAAAAGCCCTACTGAGGGGCAGGAGACAGGGGAAATTCATCGTAGGATGAACCAAGGCAAAAAGAATTAATTCCCCAGGCTGGCAGCACTATGGAGCAGCAGTATCTTAACGTGGCAGGACCAAAGTGGATGCCTTTTTCTAAAAAGCACTGGAAGGAACACACAGCACCAGGTCACTTCTGGTTTCGTTTGTTGGGGAAAGCTCAAAATAACAGCAGAGAGATTCTGGTGGGGGTGTGGGGTGGAACTGTGACAAAAAACACAAATTCTGGTGAACTGGGCTTCGTCATTCGAAAATGGGATTCGCACCCAACCTTACCCTTTGTTACCAGCAGCAAAGTGCCCCATTTCCAGGTGGATGCCAACATGCACAACTGCTGCTCCTGGTGATGGGCCTGAGGTTCTGGGGGGGGGGGGGGGGGCAGCCCCAGTGCTGTCACATTGCAGCTCCCAGAGCCCCAGTGGGGACCAGCAGCCCCCACAGCCATCCCAAAGCAGCCCCAGCTTTTCCAGGAACGACCACTGATGTGTGATGCGGCCTGAAGTGTTTATAGAAGAACCTCAAGCCATCTGCATCTGTAACCCAACCTGACATTTACTGGAAAAAAGGAAATTCCAAATGACTGAGAGCCCAAATTCCCATATATATATATATATATATATTTTTTTTTTCCTTTGGAGGGGGAGATATATTAAACCAAACGACCAATAAAAGAGCTGATGCCAGATGTGCAGCCAGGTGAGCCCATGGCAGCAGCAGCACTGGGACTCGCCCTGTGGTCACCCACCCAAACCAAAGCAATGTGCCCACAGCAACGTACCTATGCTGCTCTCAGCACCTCTCCTGCGAGGATTGTTGGGGTAAGAAAAATACTGAGACCCCCCCTTCACTCCAGTGGGGGAAAGCGTGCTCGGACTGGCGATTCCCATTTCGCTGGGCAGGAAACCAGTCTGCAAACAAGGAGAGGGAGAAAGCTTTGGGTGAGGATGCTGGAAAAAGCATTGAGCTCCCTTGGGGAGAACAGAGCTGCCTTTAAGCACCTCTCTGCAGAAAGCAGCCAGGGGAAAAAGCAACAAGCCCAGAGGCCAGGAGGAAAAATCAACACGTAAATACAGGGGGGCTGAGGGGAGGTGTGGGGGGAAGATGGGTGTGCAAGAAGGTGAGGGGCTTTCATGCCATGCGTTCTCCCTGCTGCCCAGGGATGCACTCAGCAGGTGCTGGTGCCCCTTTGCTATGCCCTGAACACCCATTTGATCCCAGCTGCAAGAGATGGGAGAGGTGACACCACCACTGACCCACCTGAGTCCCACCCTGCCCACAAGGCCACAGCCACGATCCCAGTCCATGGCACCAGCCAGACCCACTGCAGAGCTGCCATGCTTTCACTTTGGTTGCTTTTCTCTTACGTTTTATCAGGGAAAAGTGAAATCCCTCTTTCTGAAATGAGGAAACTCCTCCCCTGTGTTTATCCAAGCTGACCTTGGGGCGCTGGGAAGCGCAGGGAAACAGCACCCAGCCCAGCCCCACTGCTGGCTCTGGGACTGAGCTCTGTGCCTCTATAGGGAATTCACAGGGATGGCAAAGGGCCTCCGAGCCACAAAAGCTCCCTTTGAACCATCTTCAGGGGCTGAGCTGAAAGAAAGGAGGGCTTCAAGCTTTTGAGAAACTGGGAAGAAAAATGCGCTGCTCTTAAAGCACGGCCTCCTCCAAAAAGGGGTCGGGGAGGGAAAGAGGAGCTGTGTGTTCACAGCTGGTGACATTCCTGCAATCTGTTCCACTGGTCATGTTACCTCTGTGCTGAACGCTCCGGCGTGGCCAAGCAGAACAGGAGCAGAATGGGAAAGGATGGTGGTGGGCAGGTAACCCCAGGGGCACTGAAGTTTGGGGGTAAATTCCCCAGAAATGGGCACTTTTCTGCCCCGTCTCTCCCCCCAGCGATGCTTCCTGAGGTTGTTCTGTGAGCAGGCAGCCATAAATCTGCCTCAATGAGGGCGTCGTGGGAAGGAACAAAGGCATTTCGGGGACAATTTGGGAGGGGGCCACTTTTCCAAAAATAAAAAACACCCAAACAGGTCAGAACCCCCCTGCAGAATGGAAGCAGCGGAACTGCAGGCAGCACTGCGATGAGAGGGGTTGGTGTCCCCCCACATCCAATGCCCCCATCCCACGCTGCCACCCGATCCAGCCCTGTGTCCCTGCAGCCCCATTTGCCCACCCCGTGTCTGTTACCTTATATCTTCCCCCCCCTTCACAAAACCCCAGCAAAACCATCACATTAAAAAGCCCGGCTTGGCATCCATCCCGTTTTTATTTTAGCAGCTTCAGTGGTAAATTAAATCCACTCTGGCACGGGCAGCCAGCACAGCTGTTTCAGCAAAGGAAACATCCTCAGTTCAGAGAAGAGGAAATTATGACAAATTTGTGTAAAATTAAAACACGTAATGTGTGTGTGTGTGGACATGGAGAAAAGAAAAGCTGGCCAGCTGAGGGCTGTGCCCCTCCATAACGCCTTGCTTTGCTCCCCAGCCCCCAGCTGTGTCCCCCCCTGAATGCAGTGATGAGCCACAGGTCCTGAATGGCCACAGACCCAAACACTGCCTGCCCCAGCGAAATGATGGCACAGCAGCACAGCAACCACGGCACAGCTTCTCACTTTGGCAAGGAATGAGGTGCTGGCCAGGGAGGGGTTTTGCTCCTTCTTGTTTGCAGCCTGGCTTGATGTGATGGTGGTGGTAGGGATGGAGGTGCCGGGGCTGGGATGGGAGCAGGGAAAGCAGCAGTGCCAAGGCTGGCAGCGGGATGGAGAACCCCCGACCCCAATCCCAGCTCTGACAGCTCCTCCCCTGAGCCCTCAGCACACACCAGGCACTGCGCAGCCCCTTCTGAGCTTTGCAGGACCTCGTGCCCGGAGCTGCCAGCAAGCTGTTGACCCCTGGGCTCTCACACAGCAAAAAACTCCACGTGTTCTACCCTTACCTGGCTCAGTCCTGGCATCCCGGCGGCGTCTCTTCCAAAAGTGGAGTACGAGGCTCTTTCACCGCTCTTCCCTACGGTGGAGAAGAAACAGAAACGACGCTCTGTGTGATGGGGAAGCAGAACCCTGCACCCATCCCTCCCCGTCTCTGCAGCAGCTCTCCGTGTGCCTGCAGGAAGCAGGGAACAGCAGCGCCTTTAAGTGAGTGAGAGGCAGGGCTCGGTCCACAAACAGCAAAACCCCAAACCGGGGAAGTGCTCGTGGCCATGGAAACTGGCAGTTGGAGGCCAGAGCGCACACACACACACACAAAAAAAACCCACCCAACACAACACAAACCTCCAGACATATTAAATAAAAAAAGCACAGAGTTTGGCAGAGGCAGAGAGAACTCAGAGCCAGGAGGGAAGGAGCAGGCTGCATGTGCTTCCCATACAATGGGACACTCCATCTTGGTGGGGCTCAGCTCCCAGCCCTCGTGGATTATTTCCTGCCCCCTTTTTTTTTTGCTGGGTGCTCAACTTTCCAAAGGAGAATGCATTCAATGGGAAAGTTCCCTCGCTCCTCACTTCAGCCCCAGCCCACAGTGTCCCCAGGGCCCTGTGCCACCCATTCCCATGTGCACCCTATGCACCCGTGATGCCTTCTACTGATGCTCAGCAACCCTCCCCCCCCCCCCAACCCCCCACCCACACAGTGCTGAGAATGCTGCTGTCACGGGGGGGGGGAAAAAAGCACAAAAAAATAAAAAGAAACCCAAGACATATGGTGAAATGTTTCCATCCTGAGGTTCTCACAGACACCTCTCTGGGGAGCCTGGTACGCAGCACCCATGGGTGCTGGGGGTGAGGGGGGTGGGACCCCTGGTCAGCACAAAGCAACAGTGATTGCTATGAGTGATGCTGCTGGGGAAATGGAGATGGTGACCAAAAGGTTGTGACCAGCAGCAGGGCAGCCCTGTTCCAGTGTGGGGAACCCACATGGTTGAAGCTGGTAAGTGATGGGGCCACCCCAAAAAACCCCTTCTCCAAAATGGGGGTGATGGCATCCTGCCTCCCCACGCTGCTGCAACGAGCAAAACCGTCAGGGGAGGATTTGGCCAATCTGCTTAACCTAAAGCCCTAAGATGAAGGATAATGCACTGGGGCCACACTGAGAGCTCTTGGGGAGCAGCTGAAGACAGTGGGGAGAAAATTGCCCTGCGTCACCCCCCACAACAGGAATGTGATGGGCTGCTCGGTCCGCAGCCCCCAGCACTGCTTCTGTGCAGGGATGGTGAGCTCAGCCCCGTTTTCTGAGCGGTCCTTGAGCTGCACAGCCAATCCTGAGAGCCCCAAAGGGATGGGGTGACTTCAGCCTGGCCCTGCTCCTCCCATCCCAATGGGCAGATGTGCCAGGCCCTGCTGCTGCCTCGCTGCAGAGGCTTAAACATTAAGTAAACAAAGGTCAGGATGTCAGAGGACAGATCTCTTAAATGACCTAATTTCTAAAAGAGCTTAGCAGCTATATTTGCTGTGGTGTGACACAAATAGCTCAGCAGGTTGTGTCACTGGGAGGATCAGGGCTGCTCCTGAACCAGAGGGAAACCAGGGCAATTCCAGCCCTCTCCACTGCAAACCCATCTCTGTACCCACCCACCTCATGGCACCCCGATCCCAAACCCACCACGGAAAGCAGAACAGCCATATGACAACTGTGAGCATCAAGTCTGCTCTGTGCCTCTCCCCAAACCTGCTGCTTTTCATCTGATGTTTGTTCTTTTGTGCCTCGTTTGATTCATGTCAGAAGCAAAGCGTGCCTGGTACCAGCAATCTGCTGCACGCTTTGATCAGCGGCGGTGTGAGGGTGGGAGGAACTTCAGAGGGAGAGGCATCCCCCAGCCCTGCACCAGGATAATGCAGAAAGAGGAGAAAATCTCGGCTGCAGAGACTGTAAATTTAGTTGGGTAGGAAAATGGGGCTGGAGGGTGGCTGAGAGGAGGGATGGCAAAGAGAGGAGATGGCAAAGTGGAGGGATTGCAGAGATGGTAAAGAGGAGGTACAGCAGAGGGAAGGGATGGCAAAGAGGAGGGATGGCGAACGCTGAGGAATGCCAAACTTTGGAGGGATGGCAGATTTCTCTGCTCTGGGGTTTGGCACAGCCTGGAGGCTTTGGGCAGGAAATGGGACGAAGCTCCAAGCAGGCAGCATGGAGTGGGATGGAAGCAGCTCTCAGTGCAACGTGCCAGGAATGTCCCCGAATGCCTCCTCCAAACGACTGAATCCTGCTATTCTAACAGCATTCAGGTGGACAGATAGCAGGGAAAGTTAGGGAATAAATCATTACATCATACACCAGGATCCCTTCTCGTGGGGGGAGACACTGAGGCTGAGCAGGAGCGCCTCCCCTCCAACAACCTCAGCAGTGTTATTAAGTAGAGTTGTGGATCTGCCTTTTCTCCCCTCAAGTCCCAGTTGCAGACATGCAAGGGAAAGGGACTCAATGTGCCCATAGATTTGGCCAACACCCCCTGAGCACCTGGGTGCTTCCCAGCACTTCCCCAGCCCTGCTAACTCCATCACAACTCATCCTGGGGAGGAAGGATGAGCAAAGCCCAGGCTGCAATAGGAGGGAGGGGGGAGGATGTTAACAAAAACCAGGGGAGCAGCAACCAGCCCCATCCGCAGGCAGATTAAAAGTATTGTCCAGGAAAAAAGCACAATCCACAACAGCTCACAATGTGCACAAGATTAGAGACACTCTTCTGAAAAGAAGCTAATTACTAGAAATAATTACTAGAAAGAAATCTGTTATGGCTTATCAGTTTCCCCCCCCTGTTTAAGCAATGCCTCCCCAGCCATCCGCTCCCTGCTGAAAGGGAATGGTGAAAGAGCGACTGATTTGGAAGGTGGGTGATTTACAACAAAAAAATCCCTCCTCCCTCATCACCCACCACCTTGTGCCACCCGGGGGGACCTTTTGGGAAACCAGGGAGTGACAGGGAGGTGACATCTCCAAAGCTCACACTTCCCTCCCACTCTGCTACCGCAGTTGTATGCAAAAAGATTGGGGTTTTGTTTTTTTGGGTTGGTTTTTTTTTTTGACCCACTCTCCTTCCCTCTCATTTTCCCTTGAAGATTTTTGCCACTTGAAAAGTTTTCAGCAGCAGTTTGGTAATGAGGAAGAGAAAGCTCCACCTGTGGTCTTCCTCCATGCTGCTGTTTTCAGTGTAAGAGTGCAGAGGCGAAGCAAAACCTACGTATTTATCTTGGATCCTGCTCCAGGGGTTGGTGTTTTCTCCTTCAACCACATTCAGTTTTAGGAACAAAAGTGACTTTGAAATGGCAGGAGGCCCCTGCCCCTCCTATCTGCTATTTCCCAGCTCCTGGTTTGGTGGTGTGGCTCTAAGTGCTCTGCCTGGAGCCAGGGGCATTGCCAGCACTCATGGGGACGGCGCGGGGTGTTGGTGCCAGCGTGAGCTGCTCGGTGGCAGTTGGAGGATGTCACCCATTGGGGCACAGAGGCTCTGGTTCCACGTGCTGGGGAGCAGCCAGCTTGGCAGCCACGCTGTTTGCTAAGCACTGGGAGCCCCAGCTTTGAGAGGAAGCCAAACGTGTCCTCTCCCTACACACATCAAAGGGGAAAGCTCTGTGTTCCTCCCCAGGCAGCTCCTTCTTGCCTTGAAGCTCTTAGGGCTGCCTTTGCTCCCGGCATGGGAGGGTTCCTGCCCCAGCTCATGCCCCAACAGACCCTGCTACATGACATCAAGGCTCCCCTGGCTTATGAAGAAACATCTCTTCTGCTTTGCTTACATCCTCCCGGGGCAGGAAACAAGAAGGAATCACCTCCCTCGCTCTGCTATCTTCAGAAGTTGAAGGGCAACCAAATGCAGCAGAGCTCAGAGCGAGCCTCGTGCCACAAACACAGGCAGGAGGAGGAGGAAGAGCGCTGACAGCAGCTTCCCAGTGCCACCCTGCTCTTCTTCCCCTTTCTGACCTGCTCCAGAGGAGGAACCTCTGTGCCCAGTGGGGATTTTCTGTTTCAAACCCAATGCCCCCTTCTCATTCCCCTGCTTCCAATCAGAGGGTTCCACCCACCACCGCGTGGGCAAAGGTGGGGAGGACTAAGCCCAATTCCTAATGCCATTACAGCTCTCTAAGTCCTTCAGGGTGGATATTTTCTGCTCTTAATCTCTCCTTCCACTCTAGGGGAGAGGGAGATGGGTAAAGTGCCACATGATCACTGTAATGGGCACAGCAAGGTGTGCTGTGTCCCTCGTGCCACCCAGCATAGGGGGCAGAGAAGGTGGACAGAGAGAGTCAGAACACAAGACAGAGTTCCCCAGATCCCACCACAGGAGCAGGGAGCTCTCTGCAGGAATCACACTGCCTGGGGCAGCGGGGTTGTGGGGCAAAGCCCCCTGTGAGCCTATTGTGAGACCTTAAGGATGCGCTGTGCCTGTTGTCCCTCTCTCCACGCCTCTCCAACCCTGATTAGCAGCTCCTAGAGAGCAAACTCAGCCCTTCCTGCACCAGCACAGCCAGAATCAACCTCTGTTACTGCCCTCGAGTGCTACTGTAAAACAGGGAAAAATAACTGTACCCATAAATACAGTGGCTGCTGTGCAACATTAGGTGCTGATGAGACCCTCTGGCCAACAGCTGCTTTAACCACAGCCTGGACAGCAGCTCTGCTGGGGGAAGCAGTGATGCTGGCCGGTGAAAATGCTCCCAGGAAGTGCATGTTGCTGTTAGATTGGCCCAGCTTTGAGCCTGCAGTGTCGCCAGGCAGTGGGAGGCACTCACCCACTAGTCCAGGTCCCAGGAATGGAGATGAAGACAAGCTGTTGTGCGACGGCAGGTCCCGGTGCTCACCATAGTGGGGGCCTTCACCATAGCTCTGCTGAAGCAACACAGGCAGTGATCATCAGAGATGCTGAGCCAAATGCTGAGGAACGTGGGATATGTACCTATGTGCGCCCCATTTAATGTGGTGAGATGCTGCCTGATGCAACTGGAGGGGAAAAGACCCAAGCTGCTACTTGATGGGCGCCCTCTGGAGATGCCAAAGGCCCTGCTTAGCCTCAGGGTCGCATCAGCTGCACAGCACAGACCTGCTCTGGAGAGGCCAGGCTGTCAGGGAGCAGTGGGAAAGGTCAAAGTCAAAAGCACCTTGTAAACAGGACAGAGAAATGATGCCATCCTTGTGGCAGAGAGCAAGGCAGCGAGGCTGTGGCATTTGGAGGGGATGCAGCTCCAAAGCAGGGATCTACAGGGTGTTGGCCCTGTGCTGGTGGCTCCTGATGGGTTTCTGCCCTTGCTCAGCAGCTCAGTGCCCTCCAGGTGAGGAGCAAAGAGCCCCAGAACTGCCCTGAGCTGGGGGGAGTGGAGGGGAAGAGGAGCTCTATAAAAATGAGAAATGACACAGAGCTGCTCCACCACTGACCTAAGGGAAGGGAATGGTGCCATCACGAAAACGAATCACACAAACCCATTAAAACATGAGCATCTGTCAAAAAAACACCATTTCAATTAAGTTAATGTCTTTTCTCTCTTTTCCTCCTCGGGCCCCAGCTCTACGCTGTTCAGTTTTGGCTTCTTCATGCTGAAACCTTGCCAGTGCTCCCCAAACTCATCCTGATTTGGGGACCCCATTGTAATAAGCCTGCTTCTCCCCATGCCCAAAGCTGAGCATGGGGAGAAGGCAGAATATGGGCTGAAGTTCTGCACAAGGGTTTGGAGGAGTGGTCAGGTCCCCTCTGCCTGCTGACCCCCTTCCAATAACACAAACATGGCCCAAAATGGAGCAAAAAAGGCAGTTCCAGGGGTCAGGGCTGACCTGGGCACAAATGCATGCTCTGAAAGGCACAGCAGAGCCCCCGTTTATTTTCCTTTGAGCTCTGTGTTTGTGCTCCATCCTTACCCTTCCTTGGTCAAACGTGGAGCTGTTTTGATCTCCCGTTCCCCAGGAACCTGATCCCGGTCTTTCATCCAAACCTACAAAAAAACAGGAAGAACAAAGGTTACTCTTGCTTTATCAGCAAAGCCTCAAAGGTGTTCTCACAAAATTAACTCTTCCTTCTACAAACAAAGCAATATTTTCATTAATAAACCACTTCCACTCGGTGCGACCCATCAGCCTCTCCTCTCCATCCCCACCTCCCCACCTCTGCTGGGATTTTATCCCACCAGCTTCAAAGCAAATCCCACATCAGTCTGGAAATGCTTCAAAACACAGAGGGCAGTGGGGAAGAGGAGAAACAAACACTGCGACTCTGCTCCACCCTGAGACCACTGCAGATGAAGAACCGACTGCCTCCAGTGCTGATTTCTGCTGGCGGGAGCAGCGTGCAAAGAGCTGCCTGGTGCTCAATGGCTCAACATCCAAGAGCCTCAACAGGAGGCTGAGGGCACATTATTGGGGCTCACAGTGGTTCATGGCTATTTTTGGTTTAAGCTGCTGTGTTCCTGCAGGTGAAGGGGGATGGCACCATGGGGCTGTGCACAGCAAGCTCTCACCCGTGCTGTTTTCAGCCCTCCAAAAGCCCCTCTCTCTCACCAGGGTGGTTCAGTCCACAATGGCAGCGAACCAAGAGGAGGCTTTTGCAGCACTCTCGTGGTAGGAATTGGTTTCCTTTCATCTGCTGCCAGCTCCTCTCGGGCTGCACAGCCCCAGCAAGGTGTGAGCTCATGCCCTGAGCTCCATCCCCAGGACTGGGGGGATCCCACACCCCTCCACCCACCCCACTGGGGCCCCGCTGACCCAAAAGCTGTGGGGTGAGGGGGTCCATGGGGTGCAGCCGGGGTGGGCAGGCTCCCATTTCATTTGAGCAGAGCTGATTATTATGGCAAACACGGTGGGTATTTGTCTCCTCCGCTCCCCTTACTGTTCATTTAACCAGAAACTTCTTTCAAATTACATCCTTCTATTTCTGTGCCTTTGTGTTAATCATTTCCCCAGAGAATTGGTGTTTAATTGCTGTCTAATTTGCATAATTATGCATATTAATCTCCACACCTAATGAATATTCATACTTCTCATTTAGATTTTGTTTTCTAATCAAAAATTTCCAATGTGATTACTGTGCAGAGCAGGGATAAGCCTCTAATAATACCTTGGATACTAGGGAGAATTACTGCCAATTCTCCCACCTCCTACTTCCTAGAATAAACTTTTGCTTTGCTAATGTGTTTTTCTAAAGCAATTCATCTGCATACCCTGCAAACACCAGTGGAGATCAGGAAGCAGAGCTGCTCCTTCCCTTTGCTTGGCTCTCACATGCTGGAGGCACGAGGACAGTGCCAAGCCCCCATGGCAGCAGCCCATGACTCCCATCCCCACCAATGGGGCCTCGCATGACTTTGGGTGCCTGGAAGCTCACCAGGAATTTTTTGCCCCAAAATCCTACCAAAAAAATAAGAAATATTCCCATGCAGGGTGCTCCAAGAAGGGGGTGAGCAGCATTCTGCTGCCCTACGCTGAGCCTGAGAGGCTCAGATGCCTCTGGGCACTGGGGACCCCCAAAGTCCCTTTGGTACCTTCATGCTCTGTATTGGGGGAATCCACTTTTAACAGGGGTTGATAGCAGTAGGGCAAAGGGGAACGGTTTTAAGCTCAAGGAGGGAAGGTTTAGATGGGATTTCGGGGGGAAGTTCCTTACAGTGAGGTGCTGGAACAGCTGCCCAGAGAGGCTGTGATGCCCCATCCATCCCTGGAGGTGTTCAAGGCCAGGTTGGATGGGGTTTTGGGCAGCCTGGGCTGGTATTAAATGGGGATGTTGGTGGCCTTGCGTGTGGCAGAGGAATGGGAACCCAATGATCCTTGAGGTCCCTTCCAACCCAATCCATTCTATGATTAACACAGAGAGGCTTTTGCTCTGCTGCCCAGCCAGCAAATGGAGCACAGCTCAGGAAACAGCACAGGGGTCAGAAGGACCCCAACAGCTGCCCCATAGCCAGCGTGGGGCTGGCAGAAGGTCTCACCCCATCACCAGTGCAGCGTGCCCCACTGCAGCCTGCAGGCGATGGGAGAATTCAGGTGCAGAAAGCACACTGCCCACCTCACCCCTTGGCAGCTGCCCCACGCTCATCACCAGGCTGCTCTTCCCTCCCCTCCTATCAACAAGGAGCTACAATTTGGCAGCAAACTCCCTCTGCTGCACCCTCGAGCATCCCAAAGGTCGGCCAAAAGCAGGTGCTTCTGGAACAGCACCCACCTGCTCTGGGCAAAAAAAAAACAACCCAAACAACCGAAAAACCAACGAAACAACACAAATCCAAGGCAAGGATGAGATTGCAGCAAGGCTGCAGCGTGGCACAGAACAGCCCTGGAGCTCTGCAGCGCTCACCTCCAGCACAGGATGCTCAGACACCCACACGTGCACGCAGCTGCTTCATTTCTGCAGCCAAGCAGGTTGGGGCACGCTTCACAATTCCGAAAACAAGTGGAAAACAGGAGCTGCACCTCCTCCTCTCCATTAATACAGTTATTAAAAAGCGCGCAGATTAATTGTGCATTTTAATAACCCTGGGCATGAATATTCATAACTCATTTCTTGCTGGTGTTCTAATTAAAACGTACTAATAGAATAAGATGTAGCTGTCAGACAGTCGTGGGGTTTTTTATCCTTTACCATTTCTGTGGCACAGAAGAGCTGATAGACAACAACTGCTCCGTGTGGATACAAGGAATTCATCCACGCTGAGCCTGACCTGAAGCCTTCAGAGCACAGCAGGGCACAGCTAGAGAGCATCGTGGCTTTGCATTGGGATGGGAAGGGCTGACACAGCCCAGGGTGGATGGATGGAGGTGGGATGCCACCAGGAGAGCCCCGGTGCTCCACCCTAATTTGATTTGAAGCAGAGGTGACAGAAGGCTGCTTGATAAACACTTCCAAATTAAGCTGCTTTGCGTCCTAATCGCTCTGGCGATCAGCCCCAAGGCAAAATCTCTGCTAAAAGGGATTTGAAATCAATAAAATTAGTCGACTGGTAATTAGCTTTAAGGCCCAGGCAAACCGACGGGGCTGTTTTGTCCCCGGCAGCAGAAAAATCCCATGGCTGCATCCCAGAGCCGTGGGACGGATCCTGGGGAAGCCCCACATCCCCCTTTATTTACCAGCCCCATCCGCCCTGCAGAGGAACAAACAGGTTGGAAGGGAAGGCAGTCGTGGGCTGTTTACAGGACGTGGATTGTGGAGGGGACCAAACAATGTGTTCACTTCCCTTTCCCGGCGTTGGACAAAACAATTCTGCCTCCAGTACACAAAATAAAGCCAGGGTGAGCAGCGCTGAACACCTGGAGGGCAGCTCAGGACGCTCAGCCCGAGGGGCACAGCTCCCATTCACATCCTATGTTGCCTTAAAAAGACCACGTTTTGGCTGCAGAGGTCCTGTGTGCAGAAGGAGGGGAAAGCCTGAGGTCCTCACTGCCTGGTGGGAAGCAAAATG